AAGCCTGCCTTCAAACACCCCCACCACAAAACGCGACATAACACTTGTCTAACGTTACGGCTGCGCAGCCCTGCAGCACCGTAGAGCCGCTTCCATATTGGCCCCAAGATGGTTGAATCGAGCCTGTTCGGAGGCATCGGAGGAACTACCCTGCGTGCATTTCGAGGCTGCGCTGGCACGATGGCGGGGTTTGCCAGAGGCAGCTGGATATTTGTACAAACAGCTGCGCAAAGCTCACAAACATGGGAGCAGCAGACTGGGTGAGAACATAATACAAACAATCATCCTGAAAGCACGCGCTGAAGTGGTGCTAGGCCTTACCCCACACCGCATTCGCATCATGCAAATCGATTCTAGGCTGAGTGCGGCTACTGCACATCCAAGAGCAAGTCATGCAACAGACGGCGACGTCATACCCAGGGGGACGTCTCGACGAAATGCTGACGTGGCAGGAACACAGGTTGCGGCCGGAGCTCCTCGTGTATCCTGGCAAGCACCCAAACCCCGAGGGCCGCTGCCGCCGTGCAGAAGGCTGCGAACGCGCAGTGCGTCACCGCCACGAAGGCAAAGAACGCCAGCACCAACGCCGCGCAAGCGCGGCGTCGCACCACCTCCGCCGGCGCCAGGAGGCCTGGTGTCTGACCAGAGCCGCGCCGAGTCTCGAACAAGAACGCGACGCCACACAGCTCGCAGCGAAACTCTCCTTTACCAGGACATCCCAAGTGGACATGCCACTGGTCGAGGCACGATCCGTGCAGCCAGCGCACAGTCCCGGCACACGAGCACCAGCTGCGCAGACGGTCCGCGGGGTCGTCGCCGCCGTGGCAGAATCGGCAGACAGCGCCCTGGGGTGGATGCTCATCATTCTCGGGCAGCGCTGTGTCAGGAGTGCCCATGGTCGCGATAGGGCCCAGGAGGCCGCGGCTGGATGCCTGGCGCGGCTCGAGCCGAAACAGCTGTTGGTTCCGAAACTTCAGCTTGTGGCATTGGCTTCCTCTCATGTGGCTGAGGCGTCCGACATCATGGCTTCCTGGAAGAGTGACCCACCGTAATAGTTCCAGCCTCGACAGAATTTACCACAAGTCTTCGACAGGCCTTGGTGGTGTGATGCCGGTCTCTTACTCAAGTGATGGAGTCGCGTGGACTTCACGCTCAGCATGTGGGTTGGGGTTGAGCCCTCAAGGCAGAATCCTCTTGGGGAAGCCTATAGGTTGAGCTCTTGTGGTTGAACGTTTGCGAAGAACCCTTTGAGCCTCTTCCTCCTCCTCCTCCTCCTCCTCCTCCTCCTCCTCTCCTCCTCCTCCTCCTCCTCCTCCTCCTCCTCATCCTCCGCCCCCCCATACGTTGAACGTATGGATGAACGTATGGGTGGAGCCTTTTGAGAAAAGCCCGTTGAATCGCCATAAGAAGACCAGCGCACATCGCCAGAGCCCAATAGCGAACTCCGCTGACTGAAGCGACCAAGGTTCACTGGCGCCAACCGCCAGGCCCCAGCGACCAGGGAGAGTTAATTGGAGCACAAATTTAATATACTCTTAAGGTAGGCACTGTTTGGGGAACGGTTGAAAGCACCCCAAAACAGAGCGGCGCCAAGCTATCTTCAAGACGGCCCGTTGCCGCAACGCCGACCTTGCGTACCGCCACACACAATGAGCCATGATGCACCCTCGACAGATCATCCTTGACATCATCGGAGCAAGAATTGGCAACCACCAGAAGATTATTTGGGAGACAGTTAGAGAGATCATTCGGGAACTGTTCGGGAGCCCTCTGCAACATCAAGTGGGCAACATCGGGACAACGACGATCATACTTTGAGACGCTGTCGGATAAAAGTCGTTCGATACACCAACCAAAAATCAATCGAGACGTGGTTGAATTTCTGCCGGGGTACCAATACACATTCCCAACTCGATCTGCACCCAATTCGAACACCCTCGGGAGAGCACTGGGATATCATGAACAAGCAATCGAAACAACGCGGGGCCACCATTGGACATCATCGACGAGCCATCGGGACGCCATTAACACAAGTTATCAGGACCACATCTGGACACCATCAGCAAACACTCGGAACACAATCATCCAACCACCATGGTACCTTCTCATCCTCTTCCACCTCTTCACTCTCCTTCCCTCCTCCATCCTCGGATCACGCGTGCTCGGGAGTTGCTGGATCCGCGAACCAACAAGCGGGCCAAACGAAATGGCGGATCGTATGCTAGTCAATCTTGGCCCAGTCCCTCCAACGACGACCCGTGATTCGCCGACATGGCCGACATGAGTAGTGGCTACACCGCCATCCGCGCGGACGTGAATGACTCCATCGGAAGGCAGCTGTGGCTGAACGTCAATCAGGAAGAGGCTGGGGAGTACCTGCATGCGGGAGCTGATCGATTTCACGTTCGGCGGGAGATCGAGCGGTTCAGCCAGAAGGGAAAAGATAGCATGGTCGGCTTGAGCACGGCCGTCACACCAGGAGACCAGTGGCCAAAGGCTCGCCAGGTCTCGCCCAAGGAGCTGCTGGCTACGAGCTCGACCCACTGTGTGCGAGATTCTGCTTGGAGGAGGAGACTTTCTACCACGAGAGGAACAAGCAACGACATCTACATAAAGCCCTCGGAGCTCTGTGCGGACCGTCGAGAGTTTCTATGTTTGTGCAATTGTTCTACCTCGAACTACAGAGTGTAGCCGTTCACCAAGAACTTTGGCCACGCGGACTAATCACGGCGATAGCCTCCCCTTGTGCGAGCAAGCGCGCATCCAACCGTGAGGCGAGTCCGCCGCTGTGGCTGCGTGGCCTCCCGAGCCGAGCCGACAGCGTGCACGAGTCTGACCAAAGGAACAGTCATGCCACCTCTGTGTTTTCGACTCCTTCGACCTCCGGGTGTCGGAAACAATTCAGCAACACTCTTGCGTAACCTATGGTGTGAACTCCCCCCCTCCCCCCGAATGTAATGTTGGGCTCGGGTCTCCCGAGTTTGAGTGTCAAACCAGTGATGCGTAGACGTGCCAACTTTGAATTGCGGGGGGAAGGGGGCATGTTGCTTAATCGCTTCATTCAACCGTCGCTCCCAGAGACGCCGAGGGGTTCCTCACCATTTCCGGGGACGGCTCGGGAGGAGAATTCTCAGACGGCCCTCGGCGACGACGGGCCAGAGCTACAACGTGGCCCGAGCGGGCCAAGATTTTGGTGGCCTCCGTGTGCTGAATTCGCCACAACGATCTCAGGTCGTGTCAAGGTGGTTCCACGGGCTGATCTGTCCGCGTGTGCTGAGGTCCTAGAGCGTACGGTAAGACAACTGATATACATAACAGACCATGTCCCGATTGTCCAAGCCCGAGCCCATGTCACCTTTTGTGTGTGTGTGCCCTATCGCCGGTGCCCTGGTGGAATGTCGCCCTCCACATGGGCACCCGGAGTAATCACCAGGATGGACTCACCCCCCACGGTGCCGCTGGCTGACCTCAAACCATCCGAAGAACTGTTGGTGGGCACCTCGAGGAAGTGTGTGCGCGGATTTGAAGAGAGAGAGAGAGAGAGACCAAAGTAAACAAGATGAGTCCCAGGGTTCCCGTCCTGAGCTTGACCTTTGGGCCAGAACTTTGGGCCAGAATTCTTCGGAATGTCGAAACAGGGGCGTCGGAGGCAGAGGCCGCCTGGACCTCCTCGCATTTCACTGCAGGCGACATCAATGTTGAATGTATTCGCGACGTATTCTAGACTGTAGGCAATGAGTGCGCTGACCTTCTCGCGGGTCGTGCGGCCCAGGCGGGAACTCTGGACCACTTACAGGTCACGGCCTTTCGTCCCGAATCGTTTCTCGACGCCAGCGAGGGCCCCCAAAGGTCAAAAACTACGAACAAACCCCGCTCAGTGAGTGTTACCGAGCGCTCAGGGACAATTTTTCCTCGTCCTCTTAACCTGCCTGACAAGAGGCTCCTTCAGAGGGATTCGGAGAACTTCCAAGAAGCCTCCAGCCATCTCCCGAGGAACAAACAACTGCATAAACACACATGTTCAAGGGCCCACGAGGATTTCTTAGATCTGCTTTAGAGCTTCCCTCACTGCTGCCAGGGGGGCCCAGCTTCGATCCAAGAAATCCGCGCGGAGCTCCGCAGGTTTGTGTTTGTCTTTGTGCAATGCTTATTGTGATTGTTAGTATTATCATTATTTTTATAATTATCATTATTAGCATTATCAGTATCATTATCATTATTATCATTATTACTATTCGTATTATTATTATTACAAGTATTATTATTATTATTCGTATTATTATTATTATTAGTATTATTACTATATCATTAGAATCTTATTATTATCTTTTTTATTTTTATTATTACTCTTATTGTTGCTATTATTATTATTATTAATAGTAGTAGTCGTAGCAATATTATTTTGATTCCTCCTCTTATTGCTATTCATATTATTGTTTTTTTTGATGCTCAAGAGACCGTGCCCATCTCCGCTCCAAGCTGGCCCCGAGACCTGTACCACGGGTCCAAGCCGGCCAGCTCCCCAGATCTCTCCAGGCGCGGGGAGACGAGGGGGGAAGGGGGCCCCGAGGGCCCGCAGACGAGAGAAGTGTTGGAGTACCCTGAGATCCGACGTTGCAAACATATTGCAGCATCGCGAGAAATCGCGACCAGGACCCCGCCCCATCTTTATCCGACAGTCCTCGAGAGCTATTGATTTGTGATGGTCCAGGGTGTGCGAAAATTCCTGCAACGCCTGGATCGCAAGGCTTCCTGAGATCTGAGAATACGCCATCTCTGGAAACCCCGACTCTTTTCCCAAGGCCCGTTCTCAAACCCGATCCGTTGTGTGACGGTCCCAGGGAACGGCCATGGCCCGCCGAGGCCGAACGCCACCTGAAGCCCTCCGTCGTGATTTTCCCGTGGTGCGAGCATGCATGACAAACCCGCAACGCCCAAATCGTAGACGAGGTGCGCGCCGGGGGCTGCGCGCATCTGCGCGCGGCCGCCGGGGGCGCGTCCTTGCCCGAGACGGTGCACATCTCCTCCCGCTTCCGCTTCGAGCTCTTCTTGCCCTCCGCCATGGGCCCCACGGGGCCGCCAGGCGCGCCGGGCCCGCGCAGTACCGAGCACCCCCGCGCGCGCGCTCCCGCGCGCGAGCTGGCGGAGGGCTCGCAGGCGGGGGGGCGGCAGAGGAAGGTGAAAAGGAGGGGAGAGGGGAGGAGGGGGAGGGGGAGGAGGAGGAGGAGGAGGAGGAGGAGGAGGAGGAGAAGGAGGAGGAGGAGGAGGAGGAGGAGGAGGAGGAGGAGGAGGAGAAGGAGGAGGAGGAGGAGGAGGAGGAGGAGGAGGAGGAGGAGGAGGAGGAGGAGGGGAGCCAGTGTAAACTGAAAGCGCATCATACTGCAATGAACCCTCCTTCCAAGGTCCCTCTTCATAGGGCCCCCGTAAAATTTATCGTCATTGCGGGAAGTGCCAAAACAGTATTTCTGGGACTTCAGCGTCGCGAGTCAATGTGAATGCTGCGTCCTGACAATTCTGAAGTGCCAGAACATCATTCCAGGGACTTTAACACCGCGCATCAACATGACTGCTGCGTTCCGACAGTCCCAAATTTTGCCAGAACGCCATTCCTGGGACCTCGACTGTGCGAATCGTTGAAATTCGCGCAAGATTTCAAGACGAATAAGCGCTGTGCTACGGCGATAGTCACACTTTGAAAAGAGCCGTCCTTCAACCGCGAAGCTCTCACAAACGTTTAGAAATATTACGCGTGGTGCTGAGGCGAGAACGACAGTGTGAAAACGACTCGCGCTCCATCCGTGAAGCTGATGCAAACTTTTAAAACGAATGTGCACGGCGCTAGAGCAAGAACCGCATTTTGAAAATGGCCTGCGCTCCCTCCGAGAAGTGCTACAACATTTCAAAATAATGCGCCGGCGCCCATGCGAGAACTACATTTTGCACACGGCCCGTTTTCCATCCATGAGACTGTTTCGAATCTTTACCTTCACGATCATTAGTGGTGAGGAAATCTCAGACGAAACGCCTGGCCTGCCCAACCGGCGACTCTGGGGATGCGACAGGGAAGAATTTCTTATAAGGAAAAAGAAGAATATGGGAAATGAGGAGGAGGAGGAAGAGGAAGAAAAAGAAAGGAAGAGGAGCAGTTCGGCAACGGCTGGAAAGGTGCCACCACATTCACTTTTCATAATAAACAAATGAACTCCAAGCGAACAAGAAGGGCAAAGCCTTTGGGGGGCGGCGCAGCAAGGACTTCCAGGAACTCCGGAAAGCCCGGGGGGTCTTCTGCAGGGCCGTCCAGGGAGCCACGGGGGCCACGGACCGGGGCATCCCGTTTTGGGGGGGGGGGGAGGCAAGGGTCCCCCCCCTTCCCGCCTTCTAAGAATATAGGATACGTATGTCTGTCTGTCCGTATGTATGTATGCATGCATGCATGTATGCATGTATGCATGTATGTATACAAGACATTGTTGGCTCGCTTGGTTTCGTAACAACATCTTGTCCCTCATCCTCATCCTGTGCGCAGGAGCGCGGATAGCCCATCCCACCACGGTATATGAACGACAGAGCGTAGTGTGCTCATGAACTTGTTAATTTTAGGGTGGGGTATGGTTTCATGTGTGGTCGTGAACTTGACGATTTGTTTGGGGTCGGGTATGTTGTGCTTTCAGGGGGATCTTATGGTTGGCTTGCACATAGCACATATCACGTGTCACGGTTTGTAGTTGCGTTGGTGGTCGTGCTCGTGGTCGTGCAGGTGTGCGTGCTGGAAGTCGTGCCGGTGGTTATGCTGGTGGTCGTGCTGCTGGTCGTGCTGCTGGTTGTGCTGGTGGTTGTGCTCGTGGTCGTGTTGGGGGTCATGCTGGTGATTCGTCGTGATGTCGGTCGTGCTGGAGGTCGATAGTGGTCGCGCTAGTGGTCGTGCTGGTTGCTGGAAGCGCGGGGCTGCACACATTTGTTGTTCACGTCGACGGCAAATTCTTTGATCCGGGGGCCAACTCGGCGTAGGTTATCAGGAGAAGTAAGCATGTCCGGAAGCGAGGAGCCACCCAAAGGGGCCAAACTGATTTTTTGTTCACGTCGACGGCTAGCTTTTTTGCTCTGGGGCCCAGGATGGGGGACGTCTGGCACCCTTCGGGAAAGCTGTCGCCGCTGGGCCGTCGTGGGTGTGGACTCTCGTAAGGAAGGAGCATGTCCAAGGGCGTAGGGCAAGATAACCCGCTATCCCAAGCCTGCGGAACATCAATGGGAGCTTCGAGCCGCAGAACTCGCCGTCGCGGGGTCCAGAGGATCACAAAACCGTCTGCGCTGAGGTGAGCTGTGGTAGCAATTAATCACGCTGTAAGAGAAACATCATGCAAACACCGTGTGAAATGAACGAGTGTGGCCTCTCCAGGCCTGCTTGAAAGTCCTCTTGGGGCCCTTTTGGGCTGTTTTGGGGCCTTCTTGGGCTGTTCTGGCGCCCTTTTGTCCTCGTCTTGGGCGGCTCTGGCCGTGTTGACGCCTTCTTGGGCCCGTTTCGGGGCCACCTTGGGCACTCGTGGGGGTTTCTTCGGGCCCTCTTGGGGCTTGTTGAGCGCCAGGTGGGGCCCTGTCGGCCCGTCTTGGACCATCTTGGGCCGTCTTGGGGCCCTCTTGAGCAATCTTGGAGCCCTTGCGGCGGCCTTGTCGACTGCCTTGGGGGGATTTTTGGGCCTCTTAAATCGTCTTTGGCCGTGGGAAACCAGAAGAAGAAAGAATCGTGAAAACTCCAAGTGTTTGTGGCCTCGTCAATTCCTCCTGGAAGCCATCTGGAGGGCCTCTAGGGCTGTCTTGGGGCCATCTTGGACCGCTTCGATGCCATGGGGCGGGGCGGTCTTGGGCTCTCTTGGCGCGCTATGGGGGCCTTCTCGGACCTCTCGGAGTCCTTGAATGTTTTCGGGTAGTCTCGGAGCTGTCCCGAGGTCGTGCAGAACTTATCGGAGGGTGCCGAACTAGGGGACGCCTGTTCGGGGGGGTCCTTGTCATTCGACAGTACAGACATATTCTGTGTACTTATATATACAAATACATGTCACGTGTGCACAGTCTGTCTATATGTTTATATGTATGTTTTTATGCACGCATGCGTATAGGTAGGTAGGTACGTACGTATGCATGTATAGATGTATAGATGTATGTATGTATGCATGCATTCATGCATGCATGTCTGTCTGTCGGCCTGTCTGTCTGTCTGTCTGTCTGTATGTATGTATACATATATATATGTATACATTTACATATATATATATATACACACGTAACTGTATATATGTATATGCATATATGTATATGTATACATATGTATGCATGCATGGGTGTATGTATACATATGCCAATTCGTTTATTATTATAAGGTCGGGGACGCCGGAAAAAAAACGCCCCCCCCCCATAACGAATTTGACCCTCCCCGGGCTTCCGGGCAACCCTTCAGACGACCCGGGAGAACCTCGCCCCCAGACGGGTTCCAAGCGTTCCGGGGCGCTCCCGAAATGACCCCAGAGAGCTCCAATACTGTCCACGACGACCCCGAAGAAGCCGTCATACCCCCAAAGATCGCTCCAAAACGTCCCAAGAGGCCTCCAAGAGCACTCACAAGAAGGCCCCAAGAGACAACAATCATAATTTTCTGTTGGTGTTTTGGTGAATTTTGGGGTTCTCCTCTTTTCGGCTTCCCGACGCTCCCAGACGGCTGTCTTCTGGGCGTCCGAAACCGCCTGGGAGGCTCCCAAATCGGCCCACAATTATCCGAAAGGACTTCCAGGCAGTCCAAGATAGCCCCATAACGGCACGACAGGGGTCCAAGATGGCCCTAAGAGAGCCCCATGGCGACCCAAGATGGCCCCAAGACACCCTCCCAAGCATTTCAACTCGTGACCCGGTCGTTCACGGAGACCGCGGTTGGAGGCAGGGTGGCCCGAGGAAGCTTCCAGAGGCCCCCAGAACACGCCCAGGAGGCCTCCGGAAAGCCTGAAGAAAGCCTGAGAAACCTTTGTGAGGCCCCCAAAGGCTCTACAAGGAAGAGCCTCCGCAAAAAGAGCTGAGGAGGATGGGGCGAATGCGCAGGGTATGGCGAGAACGAAGAAAAAGAAGCATGGAGGAAGGATAACGAATAACATTACTTTAACCGCGATACCAGAAAGAAAGGCAACACATATTTTTCGCAAAATTGTCGGCTTTGCCTTCCTGCCGTTCCGCCTGCATACCAAACTTCAAGGACCAAGGTGCATGGCGCGAAACGTCACTGCAATCTTGTACATAGATTTATATGTATATATACATAGATATATGTATATATACATAGACGCGTGCATGTATGATGTATGTATGCATGTTTGTATGTATATGCGCTTGCATGTGCATGTGTATGTATGTATGAATCTGTTTGTTTGCATATACGTAGATCTGTATGTACGGTTGTATGTGCGTGTATGTATGTGTATGAGTGTTTGCTTGCGTGTGTGTATGTCTGTCTGCCTGTCTGCCTGCCTGTCTGTCTGTATGTATGTACGTATGTATGTATGTATGCTTGGATGCATGTACGTATGTATGTATGTATGTATGTACGGATGGATGCATATGTGTATGCATGTGCAATTAAATCGCTTCTGAGAAAGGCTGGGGTTGCCAGCCCTGGAATCGGTGAACTGATGGTCTCCCGCATGGCCTCCCGTATGGTCTCCCGCTTTCACACCACAGTATAATTCTAGACTTACTCTTTTTCCCAACCATCCTGTGGTGTTGGGTCCTCGTTTTGACGAGACGGTGCCCCGCGTCTCCTCCTCCCGCTGCCCCCTCCCTCATCCCTCCTCCCCCTCCTTGCCTCTGCTCTCGGCACACCCCTCACACGCTTCGTAGCCCCATAGGGAGCTCCACCGAAGGCCCCAGTGGTTGCTCTCGCATGCGGTTCCCCCACCCAGGGCAGCGTTTCGTGGCCCCATAGGGAGCTCCACCGAAGGCCCCAGTGGCTGCTCTCGCATGCGGTTCCCCAGCCCAGGGCAGCGTAGGCCCCGATGGCTGCTCTCGCATGCGGTTCCCCCACCCAGGGCAGCGCTTCGTGGCCCCATGGGGAGCCCCACCGAAGGCCCCAGTAGCTGCTCTCGCATGCGGTCCCCCCACCCAGGGCAGCGCTTCGT